CTCTTTCGTTGTAAATACCCCTCCCCCCCCCCCCACCCCCCCACACACACACACACGCATTCAAAAAGAATTTAAGACATAGTGGAAGTGCGAAAAGTCAGGCTACGTAACCCTGTAATCTGACAATGTCTTCCATGGATATGATATTTGACGGCGCCCTTGCGTCTTGCTTCGCCGTTATTTTCTCAAACCCGTTTGATACGATGCGGACGCGCATGCAGCTTCAAGGCGAGCTTTGCCGCGCGGGACAGTACCAGGTGCTCTACCGCAACATCTTCCAAGGGATCCTCCGCGTGGCGCGTGAGGAGGGCCCGTTAGCGCTGCAGAAGGGGCTCTGTTCCTCGATGCTCTGGCAAATCACACAAAACGGCGTTCGCATCGGGTTGTACCCGTCGATTAAGGAGGACATTGGCTACTTACTGAACAGCGAGAATTCACTTCTCACCTGTGCTGTGGCGGGTGGGGTGTGTGGGTTCATCGGGGCCGGCCTCTCCTCGCCGTTTATGTTGGTGAAGACGCGTCTGCAATCGCAGCACAACACCATGATGAGCGTGGACGGGAAGATGCTTCATCGAACCTCAACCGGGCACCAGCATCACTATAAAGGGGTGTACGACGCGCTGCGGACTCTCTACAGAGAAAATGGCGTCATGGGACTTTGGCATGGCTCATCGGTTTCTGTCTTTGCCGGGGCCGTGGCGTCTATGCTTCAGCTCACTGCATACGACCGTTTGAAGTCCTACTTTTGCAAGGTTACTAACTGGAAGTCGTCGGACATGCGAGTCCATGTCGCGTCATCGATCGTTTCAACTTGTTTCTTGATGCTTTGTATGAATCCTGTGTTTCTCATCTCCACACGCATCTTCAACAATACGCTCAAGGGTAAGAACAATGGGCTTCGCAGTTTATTTCCCACGCTCGTGCAGACCTTCCGCGTAGAAGGGGTTCGGGGCATGTATAAAGGTTCCACGGCGTTCGCTGTGCGCTCGGTGCCGCATTTTGTCTTTACCTTTGTCGCATTAGAACAGTTACGTTCGTTTCGTGAGAAATACACCAATCGTTCGTATACTTCCGGCACTAATGCAAACAAGAACATCGGGCATTTCAAAAGCCGCGCGACCGCTCAACGTTCTCCACAGCCGATTCAATCCATGACAGACCTTGATTAAATTGCAAAGCAAAAAAGGAACTTAATTCACACGTTTGGGATTGAAAAGTATAACACATATGAGTATCTCTTTACTTCAATTCCGATTTAGTAGCATATTTTTACACGTAGGCCTTGCTCAATTTGAGATGAAAACGGGCTAAAGGTGACAGTTACAATGCAGTAATTTCTATGGAACAAATCATACATAATCAAAGAGCGGTCCGAAAAACATGCGTTTAAATTTTAAAAGGCATCGCCCAGGGGACTGACTGACTGTTTCTAGAATTGTATTCATATCATGTGCTTGATAAATGATTTTCTTTCTTTTTTCAAATAATTTCTTTAAGGAACGGAAATATTAGAATTTTTTTACCGCACTGACATGCTTATGGAGTACTGTTGTAAGACTTCTATGATGCATTCTTAGAGCGTGTAGAAAATGGTAAAATAACTTCCTATTTTTCTATTTACATTTACAACGATATATATATCACGAAAGTCGCCTAGTGTTCTAATATTTATTTGACCTGATTCACATATTTCCTAATCTACATCGGCTGTTCTATTATATTTGCCTTTTTATTAAATTTTGAAAAGTCGAAAACTCATAAATTCGCTGGGTTTAAGATGTTCAATTTTGATCCTTTTTTGAGTGTCAAAAATTTCACTGCTTATATTATTATCCATTGTGTTTGGAAAAGTGCTTGTTAGCATATAAAGCAAACATCTTTTTCGCTCCGTCAGTTGCGCTAGAATTTTTCCTTAGATTACAAAGGAATTAATGCTAAGTTTTGTTTTTAATCAGGAGGCGACTTTTTATTATTGTTATCTATATTCTCGATCCATTCATGTAATCTCTTGCGTATTATAGGAGAAAACAGCAGTAACAGTAGTATCAAATAAGTTATATCATGTGTTCATCTTCACTGGATTCTTGTCTGGAATACATGATACATTACTCAAGAATTTTCAATCGTGAGATTACAGTTGCTTGATCGTTTTTGAAATTTTACCTCTTGTCGCCTTTGGTGTTGTCTAGTTGCTAGCAACACACTTTCTTTCTCCTTCGAACGTTTTTTTTTCTGTCCGATTAAATAGCACAGTTTTTGTATTATTTGCAAGTAATCTTTAAGGGTAGGGTGCGTTGCCATTGAAAGAATACTTCGCCACAAGGGTTCATGAGGAATTTTTTGGTACTAATCGATTTGTGAGATTCACGAAACTGTTGGGGTTCTAAATTTTTGCAATTCCTACTTGAGGCAAATATTCAAGCAAACAAAGAAATTAGACAAGAGGTTCCCTTGTTTACGTCTTTTCTTTTAGTTCGCCATGCAAGGCTATTTCCCCTGCCACTATATTCGTGTACTCTCATGGTGGCTTCTTCAGCATGGCGAGCGCTGTTCATCTGGCGTTTCTCCACGGGAATTCCTCTCTCCTCCTCGCTGCCCTCGCACCGCTTCATTTTTGAGGAAGGGCAGCAGCGCCGGATCCCTGCTCGGCCAATCAGCGATGAGAACTTTTGGTGGGGGTTGCCGGGATCGTTGTGAGGCCGCGCCGTTGACGATTTCTCTCCGCGCTTCTCACGCGAACGCTGTGGAAGGTGGTGGTGGGTATTATCGGCTGGCGCGTGCGAACCAAATCGCGCTTGACGAGTGCGTTTATGAGGTGCATACGAAGCGTGGTGGCGGCCCTGGTGGGCAGGGCACGAATAGCTCGAGCAGCAAGGTGGAGCTGCGGGTTGACATGGAGATGTTATCTGGCTTCTTTGAGGAGGAAATAATGAATCAGATTCGGAAAAATGAAAGCCAGAAGGCGTTGACAAGGGACGGGATGACGCTGGTTGTAAGCTGCCACGAGCACCGTAGCGCGTTTCAGAACAAAGAGGCTTGTATCCAAAAAGTGAAGAAGATTATTCAGAAGGCCTCATGGGTTCCACTTGTGGATGCCGAGCTGATCCAGACACCCTCACATACGATTTCTCAATCGAAAACAGCGCGACGAATAAAAGGCAACTTCGGTAAGATGCGGCGAGTGGCACGTAAAGGTCTTTGGTGAAGAAACTAGCGCGCTTTGGCATATGTGGAGGGGGTGAGATGTTTCCTTCTTTTCTCTCCTGTGCCTGCTGCGTTCAAGCATATCAGCCTTCGCTATAGACGTCGAAACTGGTTTGGGAACAAATCAAGGAATGATCTACACTCCGAAGGGTGCGTGTGCAGTGGGTTCGTATTCTTGAATGATAAATTGGCCACATATGTTCTATGCATAGGTCATTGGTGTTAAAATACAATATCTAGAGGCCTTATTTATCCCATGGAATGGGAGGGGTACGTTGGGCTTTGTTTATTTCCAAGACCTTCTTTATCCCCCTCTTCCCCTCTTCCTCACCCTTTCCATACCAACATGTTGCATCTGCCGCAAATGCATATAAATGGAAACCAAACATCTATAAGTAATTATATGTTTATAGAAGAACCATCAACCGCATTGTTACCTTTCCTTTTTCATGAAAACCAAACAAGCAAACAACCGACCGAGGTGAAAAGTTTCTCTTAGGGAAGAGTCACACCAAAGAAAACACATATACACATAGGAATAGATAAAAATTACCAGCCAAACATGTTTTTCTGTTTCCGTTCAAACTCAATTCGAATTTCGAAAACACTGTTTTCCTCCGCATTAAGTGGCGCTATTCGTGCACACGCCACGAAAGATTCCTCTGTTCCTCCTGTTGTACCTTCTGATGAGTGTGCAGGTATCTCGACAGACTTACACGCAAAAAAACCCTCCGACTTAAACGTGAAGGAGCTGCCACAGCAGCTGGAAAACAAAGTGGGCATTGAGTGTGATTTCGATCTTCGGTTCACGGTGGATTCGGATGATTCATTCAGGGATAACCGCGCGAGGAGTCATGAAGAAACCGTCGAGCATAAGCGGCGGCGGTTGATTTACCAATCACAATATCGTGGAATGGTGGAGATGGATCTTATCTTTGGTCATTTCGCCCGCTGCAAGGTGATGACGTTGCCGGATGAGCTCCTCGACGAGTATGATATACTGCTGAGGCAGCTTGATAATGATTTGTTTCAGTGGTTGGTGATGAACCTTACTCCGCCGGATGACGTTAACAGGCTGAAATGTTTCCATGAGCTGAAAAAATTTTTAGAAACCGAAAAAAAAGAGCTTTTGGGTAGTTTTTAGGCGTTTTTAAATACAGTAAGAATAAAGTTAGTGTACACTCGCCTGTCGTGTACGTTGTTTTATCGTCTGGACTACCCCTTCCCGTATTCTTTTTGGCAACTTCTCAGGCTTTGTATATCGAATCGAAGTGCGGGGAAGATATATTCTTACTCTTTATCTACAATTTATCATATCATATCTTTATAAAACGTCATTTTTTTTGCCGAATAGTGCTAATAATACTCTCTCTTTTCTGACTTTCTGTATGAATGTTTTTTTCTCCACTTCTCTTTACACTAATTACTCTTCTGCTTTTGTGTCCCACATCTATGCTTAAATAGGCTTCTTCACAGCATATTTTTACTCTCTGTTAGTGCTGAAACCGAAATAATTCTTCAACTATTTCCTCGTAATCCATTTCTTATTATAACCTATAGTATCTATATATTTTCTCCGTCGGAGAGAAAATTCTTAAGGGATCTGCTTTCATTCAACGTGCATGCTAGTCGTTTTCCAGGCTCACCTGACAAGCTAATATTAACCCTTTTAAAAAAGAGAGCATATTCTGGAAGCTAAGTACGTGTTTTTTTTCACACTTCCTAACGAGAAGCTAGGTCAGATAACACGCTTCTTTCTCTCTTTTTTTCTCTTGCTAAATATCAAATAACCAAAGAAAAGGGGAGGTGCAAATTTTCTTGTATCATATTATTTTCTTTTATAAGCTTTTGAATAGTTCAATTATCATATATTTCATCTCATTGAGATTTATATTTTGACCGTTTTTCCCTTTTATTAGGTCGAAGGTGTTTTTTTTTATGTCTCTACAAGTTTGTGGTAACAGAAATTAAAACGCATTTTTTTCAGTTTCGATTCATTTAACATTTCCTACCAGGTAGTAATAGCACTATTAATAACTAGTCAACTTGTCTGTGTTGATTAGCAGTCTCTCTCAGCCTCATATCGAATGCAATCTGAGGTAGAAGTTTCCTGTGTTCAATCGGAGCAAAAATATCCTATAAATCCATCTGAAGCCACACCGCAGTCTACAGCAATTGGTGCTAAGCCCTTAGATGGGTGTGATGAGAGCGCATATTCTAGAACGTCTAGTACTCCAGTAGGTGATAGCATGAGTGAAAAATGTGATAAAAAGTCTTTGGATTCAGGAAAGAATGCTGTGGTTGATGAGACGATCCCGACGTCGAAAACTTCGCGCTCCGCCTCGCGCAGGGCGCGTGTGGTTCCGCTAAACGCGCTGGAAGTTTCATCGGAAGAGGTGGAGAGGCATGGTCGCGGTATCAGCGCGAACCAATTCTGTGTCCGTTGGTGTGTGAATGTGGCATTGCAGTCCTTTAGGGAAGAGCCATGGGCTGTGAATCTTCGGCGGGTGGTGTTTGCGGAGCACAGTTCCCCTCCTAGCGAGGATGAGCCCCATGGCAAGGGGCTGGTGCCGACGAATGCGGAGATCGAGGGGTCTTTCGAGACGCCCCCCCCCTGCCCAATCTCTAACCCTTGCGAGCCGGCCTTGGAGGATCGGGAAGGGGACCGGGAGTCGCACCGATCGGATTCCTGGAGTAGCAAATCGGTTTTGGAAGGGGGCGAGGGCAACGAGCACTCGGATGCGCGGGGCCCCGACCTCCGGCCGCGTGGGCGAGGGGATCGCAGCCACACCCCCACCGCGGCGAGCCGCTGTGGGATTCAACTCTGCGCGGTGAAGTGGAGCCAAGAGGAGGCGATGGTGGCGATGCGGACGGCGGGCTCCAATAACCCGTTCATCACCCGTAGCGAACTCCGCAAGGAGTTGTGGCTGTTGCAGCGCGCCCTCAACGAGGTGAACGCGCCGCCGATGAGCTTCCCGAACGACGAGCTCCTCCGGCATATCTTCAACGTCGAGTTCGTCCTCGCCCCCTGCGGGGGGGAGGTTGGCGGGGAAGGTGGCCACCAAGGCGGGCGGCAGGCGAGCTACACCCTTCGCCGGCCGATCGATCCGTTGCTGTGTAGCACCCTCCTCCCGGTCGTGAGCGCCGTGGTGGATCACGGGGTGAACGCGATGGCGTTGATGTACGGCGCGACGCGGGAGATGCGGCAGCTCGGGCTGATCGGCACCCCCAAAGCCCTCGGGCTTTTCCCGAAGGGCATCGCCTTGTTGATGGAGCGCTACCTCGCGCACGGGCGGCGCGAGGCCGCCTCGCGGGAGGGATCCCCCCCGGCCAAAGCGGAGGCGCTTTCCCGCCGCTGCGTTGAGGCGGAGCCCGTGGATGGGGTCGGGGAGGGCCTCTGCCGCGCGGGCGAGGGCGGTGGGGTGGAGTATTTCCCCCCGTCGGATCCATCCGAGGGGCCGCGGTTCGCACGGGTGGAGGTCAGTTTCGTCGCGTTCGACGCGAAGACGGTAGTGGATCTTCTCGAGCTGAACAACCGCACGGTGGAGTTGGTGTTGAAGGTCGACGGCGGCGCGGAGGGGGGGGCGCAGACGGAGGCCTTCATCCAGCACGCCCACGCGATCCCGGTGGAGAGCACGAACGACGCCTTTTGCCTGCTCGACGTCGGCCTCGAGAACTTCGCGCATACGCTGCAAAAAGGGTTGTTTGAGTCCGAAACGAACACCTCGTTGATGTTCTCGCTTGGGTTGTTTCCCGCCGGGAACGGGGGCGCGGGGGAAGGAGGCGTGTTCATGCGGATGCTCTGCTTGGCCGAGGATCAGGCCGTCCAGACGTGGCTGACGAGCAGCTTAGCGGCCTACCACCACGCGATCCCGCCCGGCAAGGAATCGCGCGCGGCCGCGATGGGCAGCGTCCCGATGCCGCCGCCGCTGCATCATCAGGCCGCGAACGTCCTCCTGCCGGCGGTTTACCACGGCAACGTCTTCACCTCCGTGATGGTGTGCGTCTACAACTCCATCACCGCGTTGCTTCGCGTGAATCGGGATCTCAGCCTCGCTGCGATGGGGTATCGCATGCACACCACCCCGGTTCTCCCGCGCAGGGAAAAAGGAGGTCGTGAAGACAGAGGGGGAGGGGGAGGGGGGGAGAGGGAGAAGGAGAAGGAAAGGGAGAGGGAGGGTCGCCCGCCCTCGGCCGCGGCGGCGGCCTCCCCGGCGCCTACGGCGGTGGTGATGGCGACCTCGCCGTTGCAGCGGAGTACCCTTTCGATCGCAAACCCACGCTGGGGGTGGGGGGCACGGATGCGGAGCCCGACCAAACGCACCCGGGGGTGCGTGGTCGGGATTCCCCTCGGCGAAGGGGATAAGGATTACTTCTCCGCGCAGCAAAACCGCTATGGAGGGGGGGATTTAAGCCCGAACCGCCTCGACCCCCCCGCGGCGTTGCCCTCGGTGGATATTAGCATCGTCGTGGTGGATACGAGCGATCACCTTCGGGTGGTGTTGAACGGCAGCAGCGGCGCCTCCGTGGCGGAGCTCTGCCAGGAGGTGCGGAACTCCATCCCGAAGCACCCGCAGCAGTTCAAGGGAGGGAAAGAAAAAGGGAAGAGAAAAGGGAGGGAGGAGCGGGGCTTTCGCTACACCGTCGCGACGCGGCCGACCTCCCCACGGCCGATTTCCCCACAGGGGTGGAAGGGAAGACTGGCCGCGCGGGACGCGGACGAAACCGCCAAGGCGTGTGGGGAGGATGCCGACTCGCGGAGCACCTCGAGTTTGTCGGAATCGACCCTCACCCTCAGCCCGAGCCTCTTGCCGACCTCGCGTTTGAGCGAAAGGGGGTTTGACGCCGCGACGGGGGCAAGTTCGAGTGTGGGGTTTGACGCCCCTGAAGCCGCCGTGGGGAGCCCGAAACCCCTCGAGGACCCCTTATTGAAGGATGGCGAGGAATCCAAAAGCGAGGAGGAGGCGGGGCGGCCTCCCTTTGAGGACATTTCTTGCCCCATCGAGGGGAATCCAGTCGACGACCCCCCGAGGAATCCCTTCGAGAATATTTCTGAACTCATCGAGACGTCGAAATTTTACACCAACGTGATTCAGGAAGAAGCAGTAGCGGCATCCCATGTGAGCCATCCGGGGGCTTCGTTACAGGAATCACCCTACCGTCGGACGAGTTCCGGTAGTGAAAATCACGGCGGGTGTGCTGCCGCGTCGGACGCGCTCGCGGCTTCCCCATGTGGGGTTGGATCCTTTTCCCCCCTCGTACACCACTCCGAAAAGAATGAAGGCGAGGAGGCCTTGCCCACAAACCTGCCATCCGAGGCGGAGGACTTGGAATCTTTACTAAACGAGTTCTCGATGTTTTTTAGGCATTCCTACGAGAACGAGCGGCGACTCAAGCAGCTCGAAGCGGAGTTAAAGAGTACACGCAAGGAGTTAGCGCGCGTCAGTGGCATCACGCCCGATCAAACCCCCGTGCCGACCGCTAAGAAGGATGCCTCCGGCGGCGCCATGTCGATTATGATCGATCCGCGCGTCCTTCTCGAGCGCATGGAGGAAAAGCTGGAGGACATCGGCCCGCCCGCGATGCGCGAGCATCTGAGGGCTCACATCGAGGATGGGAAGGCCTGGGGGAGCTCGGTGGGGATGCCACCTCAGGGCTCCAGCAGCCAACTCACAGGTGAGAGGACGGTAGCTTTGGACGGGCAGAGCGTCATACTAAACCTATGGGAGGCTATGATTCGGCACAACAAGGAAGTTGAGCAAGATGTTCGGTGGAAGGCCCACACCAAGTGTAAGGGCATGATTACGCAGCTTTCAAAGCGTCATGAAGCGCTGCTGCTAGAGTGGGTTAAAGGGTACGAAAATACGATTCACACACTAGAAACCGAAAATGCGTGCCTGCGGCAACTCAATAGGCGGAAAGGCGATACTAGCAATCGTAGCAATAATCTTGATAGGGGTACATTACCTTGTCCATCCCCGTCGCAGCCGCCTGAGGCGTCTAAACACCGTATTTCGATACCCTTTTCTTCTTCCGAAATATTGGCTCAGCATAAGGCGTTATTCGATGAGCTGATTTATGAGGAATAACGAATATAAAGGTTTGATAATAAATGTCGTCTGTGAGAACGTTGTTGACCTATGACACGCAATCGTGAGATAAGGTATATATATATATATATGTATGCATTTTTTTTTTCATTCACGTAATTTTAAATTATAATAATATTGTCAATAAAAATAATAGATGCTTCATCTTCTCTCATGAGTCAGGTATTTAGAGAAGGCTCAGTTTTATGTCTCTGAGGCCCATGATTTTGTGTCGTGAGCGTGTAAAACGTTTGATACAGACCAGTCTTGCGTAAATGGAAAAGAAAATGGAAAAAATTACGATACGCGCCGATAATAAAATATTAAAGCGTGCACCAATGAATGTACACACAGTAACCGATAATTATGTACACAGTAACAGTGAAATAAATAATTAGCCGCATCAACAAAGGTTCTGGAAATTTTTTCCCTTTGGCTTGCACTACTTATGAGAAGCAACCACCCTATCACTAAGTTACACCGCATAGTTATATATTCACAAAGTCTATGGTGTAAATATTGTCTAATGTAGCAAACCTAACTCAATTTCGCCTATAGGGATACCATAATTGGGCAATCTGGCCCAGATTTACATTCCTTTGCTTGTTTTTTTTAAACATATACTGGAAAGTAATAGCATGAAAAAGTAATTTCTAACCGACTTTACTATATTTGGATAACCGTTGGCTCGTCTTAAGCATATCATCGTTTTTTTAAAATTAAACATTAATGATTCATTTTTTTTTTTTTGTAAATTTGCAATTATGTGTGATCGGTGTTGATTCTACTAAGGATATCAAGTAAACGAAAAGCAATGGTATACTGTGAGCCACTAGATGAGAGGTAGAATGCAACTGCTTGTGCCTTTCTATGCATTGAGGGGAAACGCCCGAGTAAAGGAGGATTTTGCATTGTGCAAGTATGCGTCGATCGATTCAAGCCGAAGGTCATAGGTGACACCTTCTAAGTAAGGCTATGCGAAAAGTTCTTGAGCCGGATTTATGGAACATCATTTTCACCCCTACTCTTTTTTTTGACCCACAGATTATTATTTTTAGTAGTATTTTTTTTTCTCATGTTAGTAAAACAGATACCTATTACTAATTTGTGGTAAAGTAGATATGCGGGCGGAGGGAGAACTGTGCAGGTTTTTGTTGCGATGAGTATTTATTGAATTGGGCATCGTCTTAGCTGCGCTGCACAACGTGTCAAAAGTCGACCTGAAATTACCTTTTCTTTATTTTATCTAGTTTGTTTTTGTTCTAGGTGCATTGACAGGGAGATTAAAAGGAAGGCCGTTTTTCTCTCTCTATAAACATCATTGGAGATCTTTTCGAAGATTTTTGCATACGACGTAACGATATTGAGGTGGAGCGTCGATTATATGAAGTGATTGCTTGAAGAGAACAACAATAAACATACAGTTTATCGTTTCAATGAAATCATTTGCCAAGGATATTATACGTTCCGAGGGTAAGCGTCTGCGGCCTAAACTGTTTTATGAGTCAGATGCCAATAAAATGCCCAAAACAATCTATGATTTATTTGAGAAAAGCGTTTGTGATGAGGAAACCGAAGCGTTTCTCAAGATGGCCTCTGAGTTTAGCTCGTGGAAGATGTTTATCGCTGATTTCTGCAGTGTATTTGTATCGCGCACGACTGCTAACGGTTTGGTAGGCCGCGGGGGGATGTTCGTGCTCTCCACCAAGCAGGCCCGTTCCCTGTTACGTCCACCGGGTATGCCTCTTTCGGTGGATGCCGATCACACGTCGTGCCCGGCGCCCCTAATGGAGCCTGCTTTCAAAACATTGTTGGATATCGGCGCCGGAGACGGTGGCGTGACGGCGAAGCTTTCCCCTCTCTTCGAACAAGTGTTCGCAACTGAGTACTCAGCAACGATGCGCTGGCGGCTGCGGCGTCGCGGGTATGAGGTTCTCCCCCATGAGGATCCATTTCACGATGAGACGACTAAGGAGCGACGCCTTTTCGATGTGATTAGCTGCCTGAACGTTCTGGATCGCGCGGACACCCCACTCACCCTTCTTCGCGAAATGCGGGAATCGCTAAAGCCGGACGGTTTTTTGCTATTAGCCGTCGTCCTTCCGTGGTGCCCGTTTGTTGAGTACAACAACGAGCAGCGGGCACCAAAGGAGCGGCTGTGCATGGACGGTGTTGAGTGCGGAAAAGGAGCTTCGTTTGAGGCGTCAGTGAGCAAGTTAGTTGAAAACGTGCTGCAGCCATGCGGCTTTGAGGTGCTCCGCTGGACGCGTGTTCCGTATTTGTGTGAAGGCAATTTCGAATTGGAGTATGCAGTTCTGAACGATGCTGTTTTTGTCTTGAAGCGGAGCTCCATCTCTGAAGGGGGGGCGAGCTCCACCTCGTAACTTTGGATGGAAAAAATTATTTCTATGCAAAACCAGCCAGGGGGTCGAGTAACCACAGAGGGTGGGGTGGAAACGGAGGGCGTATGATATTGAGGTTTGTAAGATCGAATGCAGCAAGTCCATTTAGTATTTACTTGCTTATTTATTAAAATTCAACTTTCTGTGCAACTAAACTTAATTTTATTGGTTTTATTATATTATACGATCTCGGCTAATGCGTTCTTTACGGTATGGTGCCTTATTTCCCTTGCATGTTTTTTCACTTCTCTTTATTCTCAACAACCACACACACATCGAGAGAGAGAGCGGGAAAATAAATAATTTCGAGTAACGGTAACTACTGCACCGATTCCTGAGTTAACACCACTATTAATATAGAAGAAAATAATCCAAAAACGGAAGATTGAATAGAGTTGAGACGTCTCTTGCATCCTTATAATGAGCGGCCCACCACTTCCTCCGATGCCACCGGGGTTTAAAGGGGCCATTCCGCCCATGCCGCCCGGCATGACGCGGGGGAAGCCCCTCCCACTCCCGCCGGGCTTTAAGGCCCCACCGGCGAACCCGCCGTCCGGGATCCCGGCGCCGCG